TGTCTTACTTTTGGGGAAACGGTATACAGTGACTCTTTATATAAAGCTTTCTTATACACAGATGCATGTCTATGGATTTGTTTCTCTAGTCTACCCAGACTCACACATGGGGGATGGTGAGGACACGGGGATCCAACGAAGTTGGGTCTTTGATGACATTTGCTCTGGCATCAAACCGGAGCAACCAACTATTTTCAGAAACTGTATGTCAAGACCCTGAAGATCTAATTGGGGAAGACACCCGGTCGCCAATCTTTTGGCGACTTGCAGCCTGCAGCATTCCTCGGGGACGCGTCGTGCTGCCCCTCTGTCAATTTCACGGCATCTTCAGCCATCTCACAGGCATGCGGAAGCTGGACACTGAACAGGGATGACCGAAGGGGAAGCGGTGCATCCTGAAGGGTGGTGCTGACGAGGAGAGTGGAAAGTGGCATGGACCGCCAAAAGCAGACACCAACCTGTCTTGGAAGACGCACCGCCAGAAGGCGCCTTAGAAGCGAGGATGGCAAGACTTCTTCTCACGCACTTTGGACATGTTATTGCGAGAGACCAGTCTCTGGAAAAGGCCCTCTTTCTTGGTGAAACAGAGGGGCAGCGGAAAAGAGGCAGGCCCTCAGCGAGATGGATGGACGCAGTGGCTGAAACAGTGGACTCAAGCACAGGAACAACTGAGAGCTTGGTGCCGGGCCAGCTGTGCTGGGGGAAGCGTTCTTTCCTGCTGTTCTACGAGGTCCCTCTGCGTGGGAACCAGGTCCACAGCACCTACCCACAGCCATCTCTCTATTTAAGCAATGCATCACTTTGGACTAAGAACTTCATACATATGAACCCTTTGGAGCCACACAACCACCCCAGGAGAGAAGCGCTATGAATTCCCGTGACATACGCAGAAACTGAGGTCCAGAGAAGGTAGCTGTCTCCTCCACGGCCAGGCACAGCTTGGCTTCTAAGTCAGATCCAGACCATCGCAACGCCAATGTTCTTAACTGCGTTGCCTCCGTTCTGCTACTAGCCCCTTGGGTGTGTGCTGGTCTAAGTTGTGCGCCACACTGTGCAGGAAGCTGTTGTTGTTGTTGTTAGGTGCCACTGAGTCGGTTCCAACTCATAGCCACACTATGTGCAAGAAAACAGAGCGTGCACAGAGGAGCGTAGGAGTGGTTCCACGTTGAGCTCCTCAGCTATTTGAAGAGTTCATGGGCTCCAATGTGGCCGATGGCAAAACCGTAAGATAAATGTTTGTTGCTGTTGCACTATAGACCTCGAGATGCTTGCAACGCACCTCGAACAGACCAGGCACTCGAGCATCAATCCGCTTTTTTCTGACAGCGCAGAAGGCGGAATAAGAACACTGTGGATAACAATCTACAGCGTTGGCAGGTGGTGGCTTTTTCTTACCCCCAGCTGGGAGTAAATGAATGGTCGGACGTGGGTGCATGCATTTAAGGGAGCTACATGGGCAGGTCTGTAAGGATCTGGGGGTGCTTGTCTCTGTGAAGTTGAAAATACCAATGTATCTCCTTTGGGGGCTGTGTGGTATGTTTGGGGATTGTTTCAGGGTCTGGGGGGGTATCAACATTGATTGGTGTTTCAGAGTGCCTAGTATCTCCACCAGGAGCCCTGGTGACGTAGTGGTATGCACTGGCCGGCAACCCACAGGCCATCAGTTCCAAACTACCAGCAGCTCAGTGGGAGAGTGTGGTAGTTAGACAATTTCATGTCAACTTGATAAAAGAATGAAGGGGTGATGTCTAGCCTGTCAATCGGGTCACTTCCTCTCTTCTTCCCTGGAGGCAGATAACTCTCTCTCTCTCATTCCTGTTGACAAGCCACATGGAGCCACGCTAATGGCAGCCAGAGCCCTGGAGATATTTCCACCACCATTGGATCCACAGGACCTTCCACCCACCGGCCTGTGATCTTCCTGCATCCAGCATCACTTCATATTCTGTGTGAGTCTGAAGAGGAATTTATAGACTGGTATTGGACATATGGGCTAATATCAGATTTATGGACTTGATCTGGACAGGGTTGGGTGTTTTCTCAATATACAATGGCTCTGTTATATAAAGCTCTTTCTTACACACTTAAGAGTCTCCCTGGATGTTTCTTGAGTTTTCCAGACTAACACAATTGGGGATTTCTGGCTTCCAGAACTGTGAGAGATAAAGATTTCTGCTACTCGACACCACTGCAGTTTTAGCAATTTCTTAGGAAACACTGTAAAGAAAGAAAGAAAAACAACCAGTTGCAGCCAGGACAAGCCCACATGTGCTGAGTAAACTGCTCCCCAGGGCTTCCAAGGCTGTGATCTTGCCCGGCCTTTCTCTCTTGGGGCACCTCTGGGTGTGTGGGAAGTGCCAACCCTCTGGCTCACAGTCCAGTGCTGTTCACCCAGAAGGTCCAGCAGGAACATCAGGGTTATCCTCTCGGACAACATGCTGAACCTCTCTGTGCCTCCATCTCTTGTGTCAAGTGGAAATCCTTCGGAAGGCTGAAGAAGAATCGATGCTTTGAACTGTGGCGCTGGCGAAGAATCCTGGAAAGTGGCACGGTCTGCCAGAAGAGCCAGTAGCTCTGACTTGGAAGAAGTACAGTCGGATGGTCCTGAGAGGCAAGGATGGGGAGACTTTGTCTCACCTGCTTTGGATATGTTGTCAGGAGTGCCTAACCCTGGAGAAGGACATCATGCCTGGTAAAATAAAAGGGCAGTGAAAAAGAGGAAGACTCTGCACAAGATGGATTGACAGAGCGGTTGCAACAATGGGCTCAACTCTAACAATTGTGAGGACAGCCCAGGACTGGGCAGTGGCACACTGGACTGCTAACCCAAAGGTGCAAGGTTCGAACCCACCAGCCACTCTGAAGGAGAAAGAGGCTGTCTGCTTCCTAACAGTGTCCTCCTGGAAACCGTCCGAGAAACTGTTCTGCTTGCCCTGAGGAGTTTGGCAGGATGGCAGTGGGTCTGGTGTGGAGGGTCGGGCAGTCTTAGGAGGGCAGGCTTTAGTTACTGGTGGCCCTGGTGTCAGAGTAGTTACCCTTGGGCTGCCATCTGCAAGGTCAGCAGGCCCAAAGTACCAGCTGCTCCTTTGGAGAAGGATGAGGTTCTCTAGCCTGAAAGAGTTACCATCTCAGAAACCCACAGGGGCGGTTCTAGCCGGTCCAACTGGGCAGCTATAAGCGGAAATCGACTTGAAGGCAGGGAGTTCGGTTCTGCCTGAATCATGATCGTTCACTGTGTTAAGCACTTCGCACGCGGGACTTAGCTCTAGAAGCGCGGAGCAAGGCGCAGTTCCGTCATTTCCCCACTCTCGGGTCCACTGGGATGTCAACTCTCAAAATGTTCCTAAACGAATGCACTTCAAAACCGTTAGCTGGTGGTGGTTGGGGGGAGGGGGGTTGTAGGTACTGATTTTATTATTATGCGTCCAGGAGGCAGAAGCCCTGGTGGCGTCGTGGTTAAGCGTTGGGCTGCGAACATTTCGAACCCACCGAAAGACGAAGCTTTCCACTCCTGTACACGAGTTCCAGTCCCGGCCACTCACAGGGACAGATCGACCACGGCGGCGTGATTTTGTTTGAATTCCGGCGACGGGACTCCTCTCCTCGGCCAACTAAGTCCCTCCAGCCGAGATCTAGGCCGAGCTCACACGGCGGGGAGCGGCAGGGTTAACAGCGTCGCCTTCCCGAGCCGCTGACACCACCACGGCCCTACGGAGCCGTCCACGGGCCAAAACTCACGCTCGGCACCGCCTTCGCGCGGCAAGATGACGTGGCACAAGCGGACCAATAGAAAGGCATCACTTCCGCTCGCCTCCGCCTCCCCGCCCCCTTCAACCGGCGTTCCGTTCCGGGGGCGGGGCCAGGCGCGGAAGCGGAAGCGGAAGCGGCGGCTGCGGAGCGCGGATCCGCGCGTGTCTTGGACCCACGTGTGCGGTGAGTTTGGGTTCCCAGGCGGGACCGGGGACGCGCGGCGCCGCGGGCTCAGGCCACGCGTCCTCGAAAGAGCGCCTATGATGGGAGCTCGGCTTGTGAAGCGCTTACGTGTCGTGTTACGAACCACGAGCTCAGCAGTTCGAAACCACCAGCCTCTCCGCGGGTGGACGATGAGACTTTCTACTCCCGGAAAGAGTGAAAGTCTCAGAAACCCGTGGGTAAAGCTCCGCTGTGTCCGATTGGGTCCCTAGGAGTCCGATGTGATCCAGTGGCAGTGAGCTTAGCGAGACATCCTTTCCCTGACCCTTCATCCCAGCCCGCTGCCCCGGGGCGCACTGGGGTGGGGGCTAGGGGGACTCAGGTGGCCTCACCCTTTAAAGTCCAGATCCGGGTGAGGTCGTGTGGCCTTGCTGTTAGTGTGACAAATCTGCACCCAGCGCCCGGTCCCGCACTGGGCGCTAAGGGTGACATCAGCTTCCCTCTGGGAGTTTAGAAGTTTGCACAGAGTAACCACGAGAAGGAGGGAGGAGAGCTGGATGCTGGGAAAGAGAATAGGGCGGAACAAGAGGCGACCCTGAGCTTCCAGAGTCGCGGAAGCCGCCCTTGCGCAGGGATCTGGGAAGGTCTACCGCAAGCCGGGGGGAAACAAGATGAGCACTCGGCTGCTCTTGGAAACTGCAGGGCAGACGTTGCAAGTCCAGGAAGGAGGTTCTCGTGGTGGAAATAGAAACGGGGGCATTGGAGCGCCCTGAATGAGGGACTGCAGAGGACTTGCTCCAGTGAATATGGGACGTCAGGGATGGAAGAAAATGCCTTGTTTGGGCCACTCCGAAGTGGCATGGGTGCTGTGGCATTGAGATGGGAAGAACTGTGGGGGGTGATTTGAGCACATGGCAGTGCTTTGGGATGGTTTCCAGTGGGCGTATCATTACAGAAATTAGGTTTCAGGTGTATTACGTGGGTGTCAGGTGCCTGTTAGACAACGGAAACAGGGGTGCCAGGTAGGTAGGCCGCCAGATGCACAGGGCCCAAAGGAGAAGTTGGTAATGGAGAAACGGTTTGGGGGAAATCATTCAGCGTTGGAATCTGAGATTGGATGAGATTTAGGTTGGGCACCGCATGGTTAAGGAGCCCTGGTGGTGCAGCCACTAAAGCAGAAAGGTTGGGCTTGGTGGTTTGACTCCAGCCTGGCCGTCTGCTCCCGTTTGGGTGTCTGTTATTGCTCGTTCCGCCCGGTCGTTTCCGACCCACGGCCACCCTGTGCGCAGCAGAACGAGACATCCTCGCAGCATTGTGTTTGAGCCCGTTTGTCGCACCCTCTGTATCGGTTCGTCTTGCCGAGGGCATTCATCTTTGTTTTGCTGCTCTAGCAAGCGTGACGTCCTTCTCCAGGGACCGGTTTCTCCTGACGGCCATTCGGGTTGTCCTTCTCCCAAGCCGGCTCTGTTTGTTCTTCCGGCAGGCCGCGGCGCCGTCAGTATTCTCCGCCAGCACCCACATTCAAGGCCTCAGTTCTTTGGTCGTCCGTATCCGGTTTGCATCTGAGACCACTGAAAATAACCATGCCCTGTGTGTGTCCCCGCTCACCCTGGTCCTCAAAAGTGACGCCATGCTTCTGTCAGTTTGTCACACTGGTGGCGCGTGTGTGGCTGTGATACTAGAAGCGATGCCACCGGTATTTCAAATGCCAGGAGAGTCACCCACAGGGAGCAGGTTTCAGCACAGCTCCCAGACTCAGGACAGGCCACAAAGCAGGAATAGGCTGAAGATCAGGATACGATAAGACCAAACTCACTGCCCCTGGGTCCGCGCGCGCTCACGGTGTCTGCAGGACAGGGTGGCCCTGCCTCCGGAGGTTTCCGAGGCTGTAACTATTTATGGGAATAGAAAAAGCCTCATCTTTCTCCCTTGAGAACGGCTTGTGGTTTTGAACTGCTGATCTTGGGGTTCACCTAATGTAGCCAAATAGTGACCCCCTATACCACCAGGTCTCCTTCCTGTCAATATTGCAACGTGACTGTTCTGCTCTGTCACGTGGGGAGGGTTCGCCGTGAGTTGAGGTGACGTGGACATCAGCAACTGACTGGCCACTGTGTCCAGAGTGCTCCGGGCTCCTCAGGCCCATTGCCCTCACCATCTTCCCAGGTGACACGAAACAAGCACAGCTCTGGTACTGAGGGGTCACCAAGGTCTGTTCTTGGCTTGTACTGTTGCGGGCGGCACCACCAGGTAAACCACCCAGGGGTCCAGTGTGGTGTGCACTTCCTGCCTGCGTGGATTTGCAGCCCCTTTCACTTCTGAGGTCTTGGAGCCGAACTTGTGGAAGGACTGGCTTGTGTGGGACCCACACTCCGCCTGCCTGCCAAATGAGGGCCGTGGGCAGGTGGCAGTGGCTCTACACCTGACGGGGACCCGCCCTGTGATCCGGTCTCGTTTCTCTTTTCCAGACTGGCTACGATGGAAGTCAAAGGGAAGAAGAAATTCACGGGAAGGGGTACCAAGACGCCACAAGAAAACAGATTTCACAAAGGCAATGGTAAGGCTTTCTCTCGCTGCCATCAAGTTGATGCCAACTCCCAGCCCCCCTAGAAGACAGGGTAGAACCCCGCCCCCGCCCCATGAGCTGCCAAGACTGGCACTCTGTGGAAGTCAAAAGCCCCTTGTTTCTCGCGAGGAGCATTTCGAACTGCTGACCTCCAGTTAGCAGCCCAGTGGGTAACCTCTGTACCACCAGGGCTCCCTGTAGTGTTAAGACAGCCACCCCCAAGCAAGCCTCACAGCATGACCATTGGCCGCTGGGATGGGAGGTGGGGTGAGGGCCGGGGAGGCAGATCTCAGTCTGCGTCTCTGTTCTCAGACTGGGACCAGGATGAAAATGCTGGAGAGACGTGGGTGAGTCCGTGAGCATGAGTTAGTATTTCCCTGTGTGACGTAGAACTTGGGGGGAATAGCCATGGGGTAAGGGGACGTGACACAGGAGTCCTGACGTCTGGATCCCGCACCTCAGCTTGTGGTGCCACTGTTTGGTTATGGTCTCGCAGGGGTCACGCCCTCGTTTTCAAAGGTGGTGGTTGTAAAGATAAACTGAGGCACAGGACGAGTGAGAGGTAAACCGAGGCACGGGGAGACGGACAAAGATAGCTGACAGGACAAAGGGAGAGCAGAAACAGGAACAGCTTTATTGGGGGGGTGCTCCCGCGCGAAGCCCCATGGTCTAGCAAGTAGCCCAGGGGAATCACGGGCTTTGCCCGGGGCCTGGGGGTTTTAAAGGAAAGTGGGGAGAGAGGTCCATGCTGCAGCAGCAAGGTTTATGTCCCAGGATGTAGTCTGTCAGCTCTGGCAGGCCGGCCGGCCGGTTCTCAGGGAGTCAGGCATTCCAGGCATTGCTCTTCGGTCTCCTCATTTCAGGGGGGCAGCTGCTGACCTTCGGGGACATACAGGGAAGCGGGACCCCGGCCTGCTTCAGCTCAGCCCAATCAGCGGTCAGCCCTGGCTAGCACGTAGAACCAGCCACCCAGGTCCTTGTGACGTCTGGATTTGCTGTTGGGATGCCTCATTGATTGATCAGGCTTCAGAGTAGCCAAGTGGAAAGGGCAGGGAGCTGACAGTGACCGAAGGAGTGCGCTGGCATCGGCCTGGCAACAGTGGGCCAGTGTTTCTGTTTGGCGTCGATTTCAGATGTGCAGCTTCTTCCAGGCATTCTTCACCCACGAAGGCTGCTCGTCACAGACTCTGATCATACGCTTGGGACAGAATTGATCTTGCAAGGAGACATTTTGAACGCACGACACTGCGTTTCAGAGTGTCGGTTTGATTTTCTGGATCCGCCTGGGTCGTCCACCCGGTGAAAGCAATGGGTGGCGAGCTTCATTCCCTGAAGCCACCAGAAGATTAGAATTGGAAGCCATGAGTGATGGCCCTGGTCTCTACTTGCCACTAGAGAACTAGGCCCATGCCAGTCACCAGCACCCGGCCGGGCCGGAGACCGTGGTCCTGCTGACCAGACATCCCTTCGGTAGTGAACCTCTGCTAGGACCGGGAGCGGAGACCTTGCTCTGTTGGGTGCAGATCTTTCCCATGCCTCTCCCTGTGACATCCGAGAGACACCGGGCGAGCCCCTCTCTGAAGAGCGCAGCTCGGGGTGAAGGGCCCGCTCTGCCCAGCTCCCGGCTCACTGAGTAAGTGCCTGTTGTCATCTCTAGAGCCGGGCTCCTCAAAGACCTTCCCCAGAAGAGCTGCTCCGGGTGGTGGACCTAAAGGGCCGTCTAAGGCCTTGAAGAAAAGTGCCGGCACACCCGGCAAGAAGGGGGTGAAGCACTTCAGGAGCAAGACGCCGGGGGCGAAGACGGCCAAGAGCAAGCTCCCGCAGGAGAACACACCTCACGGGAAGAGAAAGTTCCAGCCTGACAGCAAGAGCGAAGGTAAGCCCGGGCGGGACCTCTGGCGCTCGGGGGCTTCGGGGCCGTACTTTCTACCTTACCTCTTGGAAGGTAAAGGCAGGTGCAGGGCTCACGCAGGGAAGCCTCCCCACCCCACCCCCAGGCTATCAGAATGGTCTAGACATCCAATGCAGCCTGCTCTATCCTCCCTGCTCTTGAAAGGCGGCATTTTTTTTGGTGGAGGGGGGGGGAGCGGGGCCATTTGGCTGAAATAACCAACCTCCCCTGGTCACCACTTCCCCATCACACTCACTGCCACTGAGTCGATTCTGACTCTCAGCAACCCTCAGAAGGAGCCCTGGTGGCATAGTGGTAGCTTGGGGCCACTCACAGTCTCAGAAGCCCATGGGGGCAGCTCCCCCTGTCCTGCAGGGTCGCGGTTTGCACAGGAGGGAGGGTGTGGGTAGGCTTTCAGTGTTGAGGCTTGGGGTCCAGGGCTGTGCTCTGCTGCAGCTCGTCCTTCCTGGAGGCCCCAGACCCGCTCTCCCCTCACATCTGTCCTTTCACCTCCTGTCCGATGCTGAATGGCCAGGGACTCTCCCTGCGTGGTCTCAGAGCTGTGCCTGAGCGGGTGTGTAACCTCTCACCCTCATCTGTCGCTCTGGCCAGGTCACAGGGTGGGAGGTGACTGCATTGCCAGGCAACTGGCCAAGTACTGGGCCCCGTGGCCGAGCCGCCAGTGTTGCACGCTCTCTGCAGGGAGCTGGGACCATAGTGGAGGGCCGCCTCTTGGTTCGGGCCCCGGGACTTTGGGACACCAGGGCCTTTACCTCCTCCGTGCCTGTGTTACACAGACTTGAGAGGGGGTGCCCACACCCACCCGGCAGCATCGCCGCCAAAGTGCAAGGTGTTCAGACATTCTAAGGGGTGAGCTGGAGGCTGGCGTTCTGGCATGAATTTGGAGGGAGTTTTTCATTGAGGACAGATTCTCCCTAAAGCCGCGACGACTGATGGTTCTAGAGGAGCGTTTTGCCATTGGCAAAGACCTTAGACGCCGGCCCATGACACTCACAAGCCTTTTTGGTTGCTTAATGCCCGTGTCTGCTAAGACTCCATGTACTGTTGAGGGAATGCGTGACGGGTTTGGGTCAGAGTGACCTGCCGTTACAGGGGACTGTCCCTTACCACCTTCACCGTGAGTCCTGAACCCTCTTTGGGATGCCCTCCCACCCTAACTGGCGTTGGTTGGCAGAGCTCCGGAGAGTAACTGCTAGTGGAAAGCCTTTCTGTGATCACTAGAATCGGCGGCCAAGAAACCCAAATGGGACGACTTCAAGAAGAAGAAGAAAGAGCTGAAACAGAGCCGGCAGCTCAGTGACAAAACCAACTACGACACCGTGGTCCGGGCCAAGCAGATCTGGGAGACCCTTAGGAGGTAAGGCGGCCCTGGGCCTCCCTCGGCTCGTCCTTTTGAGACATCGCCTGGGAGACACCATAGCAAGGACACGTCACCCCCTTATGGGGGCGCCCTCTTTGTTTGGACTGCTCCTTGTCCCAGAACTGTGGAATTTAGCTGAGTATAAGCCCCCAAAAGGGTTGAGTCTCCTGCCTCCTCAAACCCACTGTCATCAAGTTGATCCGACTCACTGCGAGGCTTTCAGATGCTGCAGAACTCTGCCCTTGGGTCTCTGGGGCTGTCACTCTTTACCGGAGCTGACAGCCTCGCCTTTCTCCCACAGAGTAGCTAGTGGGTTCGAACTGCTGACCTGTGTTTAGCAGCCCAATGCATAAACCGCTAAGCCACCAGGACCCCCTTCCTTCGAGCAGGGCCATTTCGTATCAGCGAGGCATGGAGAGACCTGCTCAGAACAGGGCCTTCTTGGCACACTGTGACAGCATACTGTGGCAGCTGGTGAGGGGGCTGAGCTGCCGCCTCTGGGCAGAGAGTTTTCTTTTCCTGGCTGCTCACCTTGCATGTCAGGTGGGCTGCCTGCCCACAGAAAGTCGGGCTCCCTGGGTCATAGCCTAAGCCGCCGCCGCCTCCCTCCTCATTCACAGAAAAGACTGTGACAAAGAAAAGAGGGTCAAGCTGATGCGGGATTTGCAGAAGCTGATTCAAGGCAAGATTAAAACGGTAAGTAGGCGTGCATGTCCACCATTGGCACGGGGGCCACTCTGCAGTTGCTTGAGTCAAGGGAATGGTTCTTTAATGCAAACATACCTGCCACCAGGAAATTTCAGCTGCCACTCAGTGACCCCGACTGAATCACGGCTGACTGGAGGGAGCTTCTTATTTTTCCCACTACGGTAATTTATTTTGAGTCCATTTTCTCTCTTAAGTCACCGTAAGGAATTTAATAGTACGGGTTCGAGTGCCTGATCTGTGCATGATTAGTGTGTGCATTTGTGATGGTGATGATGATGGAGCCCATTGTTTTTTCTCTCATCTGGACGCTTCCCACTCCCTCCTCTCCTGCCCCTGTCCTTTGACCCCGGGCACATGCTGCCCGGCTGATGGCGTTTGGCTAGTTGTTCTCAGGAGCAGGTACCAGCTGCAGCAGGCCGTGCTCACCCTGTCGGCCTGGCTGTTGGGCTGAGAACGGAGCTGCAGGGGGCAGAGGGGTGCCCTTCTAGACCCTGAAGGGAGCCCAAGGGCTGGCGGCTTAGGGATTGTGTGTTTTCAGCTGTCAGCTCTTGCCCGGGCGACCCCGGCAGTGTGTTCTCTCCCTGTTCTCCTGGGCTGTGCACCACCGTCCCGCTGGGCTCTTTGAGGGACAGCACAGGTGGGGCGTGAGTGCCAGTCGTGTTGCTGCCCGCTGCCAAGTCCTGTGTGTGGTAGCTTCCACCGGCTCTTGTGATCAGCTATTCAGTGGTGGCACCCTTGACAGAAAACAGTGTCCTCCCCAGTCCTGGCACTCTCGCCACGTGGTGACCAGTCCAATGTGGTCCAGTTCATGGTGACAGAGCAGCACTGTCCCATGGGGGTTCCGAGCCTGTCCATCATGGCAGGTACAAACTGTTGGTGGTAAAAGCCCTCCACCGGCTGCCATGGGGCCCATTCCAGCTCCTAGCAGCCCTGAACAGAGAGCATTTCTGGGCTGTCCGTCTTAGCAGCAGCAGGTAACCTCGGCATTCTCCCTCAGAGCCGCTGGTGGGTTTGAACCAGCGCCCTTGAGGGTCAAGGCCCTTTGCATACAGGAGGAGCTCGGGATAAGTATTTGCACGTACCATTCGTCAGCCATGAACCCTGGCTTGGGTCAGGCACACCTGTGTCGTCCAGGTGAACCCTGGCTTTGGAGCACTTGAAGGAAGAGAGCGTTTGCCGCAGATCTTTGCCCTGCAGTGTGGACTGAGTGCCCGAGGTTTTCTCCTACCCAAGACGCCCAGACAGTGAGCCCGGAGCGGGCGTGCTCAGGGAAGCCTGCCTCCCTTCTCCCCACAGATCGCCTTTGCACACGACTCCACGAGGGTGATCCAGTGCTACATCCAGTACGGGAACGAGGAGCAGCGCAGGGAGGCCTTCGAAGAGCTGCGGGGTATGCCGCCCCAGAGCCGGGCTGGTGGTCATGTGTTGCAGCGGGTCCCTGGGTCGCTGGCTGTCCAGGGACCTGCTCCCTCAAGTCACCGCCCTTTACCCTTTCAGATAATCTGGTCGAATTGAGTAAAGCCAAATACTCCCGGAACGTGGTTAAGAAGCTCCTCATGTACGGGTACGTTGGCTTGTGGGTGGGTTGGTTGGTATCCTTGGCTGTTGAAAGGAGTGAGTGAGGCTCGGCTGTGTGCAGGGACGCTTACAGAGCCTGGTGGCGCAGTGCACAGTCGGAACAGGCTGTGGTGGTCTTTCTGGGGACAGTGGTCTGGACAGCAGTCACTGACTGACGCTGCCATCCTTGCGGTTCTCAAGGACCCACGTGTACGTCTTGAAGCTCTGGGGAGCCAGGGTGGGAATAACCAACTTCTCACTGGGGTGGGCCGGAGGTGGGGCGCAGGAGAGCAGACCCTTTGGGCAGCCTCCGTGGGAAAGCCCAAGGGCAGTTCTACTCTGTCCTGCATGGTCACTAGGAAACCCTAGGGACAACTTCTACTACTCTGTCCAGCATGGTCACTGTGAATCGGAATCGACCAGAAGGCCGTGGGCTTTCCGTTTCCTACGGCGGGCCAGTCTCTGCCTCCACAGCTTCGCCCTCAGCACAGCCTTGCTGCTCTGTGCTGAGCCAGGGCCACGAGCAGCTAGTGGCCAGGGAGCTCTGGCCCTGGGCGTGGCAGTAAACGTCAGCACTGCCTGGGGGGGAGTTGGCCACCGCAGCAGCAGCAGTTACTTTGCTGTGGCCACCGGCCTGCTGCTTTTATCTCGGGTGTCTCTCCTCCATCCTGGGGTTGAAGGAGCCCCAGGTGGTGTAGCGGTGATGAGTTGGGCTGCGAACTGCAAGGGTGGCAGTTCAGAACCCCCAGCCGCTGCTCCTCAGGAGAAAGACGGGGGGCTGTCTGCTCCCATAAAGACATAGTCTTGGGACACTCCGGGGCAGTCTTTCGGATCATGACCAATCGGCACGGACTTGCTGGCAGTGAGTTTGTTTCTGGTGTGGGGCCAGTGGTGGTTGAGCACAGGGCTGCGAGCTAGTTGAGAAGTTGGCGGCTCCGTCCCGCCCTCGGTGCAGCAGAGGAAAGGTGTGCCGGTCTGCCCCTGCTGTGACGTCCCTCCCCTGCCCCACAGGCTTGCTCGGCTCAGAGCCGGCTTGACCATGTGCGTGTGGCCTTGTCTTCCCCATTGGTCTAGGAGCAAGCCCCAGGTGGCCGAGGTCATCCGCAGTTTCCGGGGCCACGTGCGGCGGCTGCTGCGGCACGCCGAGGCCTCGGCCATCGTGGAGTATGCCTACAACGACCGAGCCGTGCTGGTGCAGCGGAACCTGCTGACGGAGGAGCTGTATGGGAACACCTTCCAGCTCTACAAGGTGTTGCTAGGCCTCCCCCTCCCCCTCCCCCCATGGCCAGCTCCGCCCTTTGTCTCCCTGGCTCCTCCACGCTCCATGGTGTGTGGGGCCGTCGGGCCCCATGGCGTCCAGCTCAGCTGTGCCACCAAGGGTGCCCAGGCCCATGTTTCTGGAAGTGGGTCACCTGAGTGTGGACTTGAGCCTGCTGCCCCTTAGTTAGCAGCCCAGGGTGGGAACCAGGCCAGTGAAAGACTGGGTCTCGGTGATGCTGAGTGCAGCCTTTGCCCCCCACTCTGTCCCCCACCACTGTGAGATCCGTGTCAGGGTGCCCTTGTCCTGGCTGTGCCCGCAGGTGACAGGAGTGGGCTGGGGCTCTTGGCATGGTCTGGGGATAGCATGAGAGGGGCCACCTCAGACTACACTGCCAGTCCCCTTCCTTGGATGAGCTTGGCACTCCCTGCATGGATCGCAGGGACTCTACACTGGGAGACTTAGTGGGCTGGCGCTTGGTCTCAGAGCTCATGTTGTGGGCTGGGTGAGCTGGTGGGTTCGGACCAGGCTTCCCTCATGCGTGGACAGCGTCTTCAGCTGCCGGCCTGCAGGGGGTCGGGTGAGTCCACGTGGGGGTGCCAAGGAAGAGAGAGCTGGCAATCTGGGAGAAGAGCAGCCTCTGCAGGACACCCTCTGGAATGCAGTTCCACTGTGTCCCACACAGGGGCGCCATGAGCCAGCCCCCACCCTGGGGTGTTGGCGGCAGGTTTGACCCTCCTTCCCTTGCAGTCCGCAGAGCAGCCCACGCTGGACAAGGTCCTCGAGGCACAGCCCACCAAACTGGAGGTCATCATGGACGAAATGAAGCAGATCCTGACACCAATGGCCCAGAAGTAAGCGCCGGCCGTGGCGCCCTGGGTTTCCCTCCACCAGCAGGGCTTGAACGAGGGGCGCCTTCCTAATCCCGCACATTCAAAACAGTAGCTAGTTCTTCTCTAAGTCTCCTAACTGCTTTTGGTCTGCAACCGATCTTGGGTGACAGTGAGCGGGACCTCTCCCCTCACTCCCTGGCGTGGAGTCGATGGTGACTCAGGTCGCCCTGCAGGACCAAGCAGGACAGCCCGGGGTTCCGGGAGTGGAACTCTGCCACTGCTGCCCTGGAGGTGTGCGTCCTAATATGTAACTGCCACGCCGCCGGGGCCCCTGGTGTGTGCACACACAGGCCCACGCTGCGCCCCGTGGCTGTGTGCTATAGAAGGATGTGAGTGCGCCCTGTGGAGCTGTTTCTTGGCTTTGTGTCGGCGAGTCTGGGCAAGGGTTGCAGCAGCTCTGTCCCGTGTCTTCTTTCATGTCACGGATGGCCACCCCCTCGCTATCCACCGCCCACCCTCACCCTCTCTGCTTCTCCCTTTTACCCTCCTCCTGCCCTAAACTGTCACAGCTTTGTCCTTGGGCGAGGACGGCCCTTTGGACTGAATACTTGGTGGTTCTAGGGAGGACATGGCCCCCGAATGTCCCTGTGCCTCTCTACGTCTATCTTGGGCTTCACAGGAGATTGAGGGGAGTTCAGCTCTAGGTCTGCAGGGACACAGAAAACTCTGGTTTCAGGTCTTCTCCCGGTGCCTCTTCAACTGTAAGCCTGGCCTCCCGTCAGAGCCACGTTTGCTCCCCACTCTCCCCGGGACCTTCCACTGTGATCCCTTTCAGAGCAGCTGGCTGTGGGAGCTGGGCCCCCTCTCGTTCTTCTGGTCTCCACCCAGGCTGGTGCAGACTGATGTGCCTGTGGTCCGAGAGCCCAGTGGACTCCTGGCTCCCATGTGCTTCTGTGCTTCTGTCCTCTGCACGGGGAGAGACTGATAATTGTACCTTAGGTCCCCCCCCCTGCCCACCAACACAAACCTTTTTGAAAGCGTTGGAAACACTTTTTGTTCCACCTCAGTGTTAGGGTTGGGCCCTATGTGCTAGGCGGCTTCATAAGTGAGACCTATTGACTGGGCTGACTTGTAAGGCCTAGGACCCCACACACGTGTCTGCGTGCTTGTGGTGCTGGGGGGTGGTCAACTGGAACGTGTACGGGGGCCGGGCCTGTGGCTGTGGGTCCTGGCACCCCCAGTTGTCTCTCTGACTTTGGGCACCATCACCTCTCTGCGATTCATTTTGCTCATCTGTCAAATTGGGGTGGTGATCCCACACTTGACAGTGCCCTGACCCCTGGGTTCCACAACATAGGTGGACCATGAGACACCAGAGGACTGCCACGCCCGCCCACTGACCCCCACGTCCCACCTGAATCCACCAGGTGTCAGACTCAGAGGCTCAGCCCGGTCGGGCGCTGAGGCCATGCTGATGCCACATAGGTTTCGGTGCCGCCGAAACTCCTCTGTGACCCAGAGACATTTGCTGGCTAGAGAGCAGCTCAGACACGTGTCCGAAGGTGTGGGCCCGTGGTTGGGGACGAAAGACAGATAGATGCCTCCCTGTAAAAGGGTGGAGTCCGTGGGTGGTGTAAATGATGGATACACTCACTGCTCACGGGAAGGTTGGGAGTTCAGGTCCACCCAGAGGGGCCTCGGAAGAAGGCCTGGTGATCTCATTCTGGGTCATCGGCCACTAACACCCCCTGGGAAGCACAGCACACTGAGCGGGCCGCCACCCAGAGGAGAGCAGGCGGAGGGCGGAGCGATCTTGGGGGGGCGGTTTCAGCTCTGCTGATGAGGCTACAGGAAGCTGTCGCACACTCTGGTCTTGGTTGTCGAAGACGCCTAGTCAGCCTCCCAGTGTAACCCGGAGGAGCACGTGAGACCGGGGCGGAGTGCACCCGTGAAACTACTGCCAAGGAAACTACCAAGGAGGCCCGTGCCAGGCACTGAAGGCAGCACGCCTGGAAGCAGAGCCGTTGTGGGGAGGGCGCAGGGCGCAGGGCGCGGCAGGGTAGTCTTGTGTTGTGCACTGGGTTGCTCTCGTTCAGAACTGACGGGGGCGCATCCCTGCCTGTCTGCCGGGGTGGTGGGGAGCTTTCCTGGAGAGCTGACGTCAGAGCTGACAGGGTGGCGGCTTTCCTTGAGAGCTGACACTTGCTTTCCTCCCCTGCCTTTAGGGAGGCTGTGATCAAACACTCCTTGGTGCATAAAGTGTTCTTGGACTTTTTCACCCATGCGCCCCCGAAACTGAGGTCGGTGAGTGCTTGGTTGGGGGTCTGAGCCAGAGCACGAAGGGGAGCCGGATGGAAATGCTGGGCGCTGTGTGCATGGAAGGGACTGCCAGGAAGAGTGGCAGAGCTGCTCGTTCTGCTGAGGTTGGGACCGCACTGCAGGATTGACCACGCTTTTCTGACCTGCGTGTCAACCAGCATATTTAATCTGTGTTGTTAAACTGTGGGGCCGGTGGCGCCGTGCTTAAAGCGCTGGCTGCAGACCCAAGGCTCGGTGGGGGGAGGGAGGCACACCGGAGCTCGGCAGCCTCAGCAGCCCGCTAGGCCCTCTGATCTGTGCGGCGTGGTCGTGCGGAGCCGGTCAACGGCAGTGCACTTTTCACTGGGTTTGGGATTGAAGTGTGAACCCATTCACACGTACTGTGTGCGTTATTGTGATCTAGGGGGTTGGTCGGCTAAGTGATAGATGGTGGATACAGCATTCAAGTGGTCTCGGGTTTCTGGGGACTGCCGGAAGAGTCCCGTTGGTGACTTGTGTAAATGGATGTCACAGGAACAGGAGGGGTGTCAGGGAGTCCCCAGGGAGATCCCGTTTTCTTTTCGTTCTGTCTCTCGGGGACTCTGAAGTCCCCGCCCTTCAAGCCTGTGTGGGGTGGGGGCCTGGTTGTTACCAGTGAAGACTCACAGCAGGGGTGATTATTGCCCCAGAGTGGCCCACAGAGGGCGCTGGTGTGTCACCGTCAGCCGTTGGGGGGCGAGGTATGTAATGTGTTTTCACTTAACAGCCAGGAGTCCCTCGGGCCATCCAGCTGAAGTCAGCAGACTGGGGGAGGGGGCGGGGATGTCTCCCACTCCGTCTTGTGCTTCCCACCCTGGGCAGGTCGGTGGAGGGCAGAGCCGTGGCTGACAGCCTTTGTCCCCTAGGAAATGATCGAGGCCATCCGGGAGGCTGTGGTGTACCTGGCGCACACTCATGACGGGGCTCGCGTGGCCATGCATTGCCTCTGGCACGGCACCCCCAAGGTACGTGGGTGCCCTGGACTCCCTTGCCTGCCTCCCTGGTCTCGGAGGGAGCCAGGGGTCAGTGTCTCCAGGCTCCGCATTTCTCCCGGGCTCTGACAGAGAGCCCGAGCTCCCAGGGCAGCGTGACGGGGCTCCGACACCGGGTACCACAGGTGGCGTTGCCGTTGAGGTGTGGGTACCTGTCAGGTGTCTGTGTGGGAGACCCAGGTCACATTACCAGTCAGCAGAGGCTTGGCATGCCTAGACTGCTACAGGGGTTTCCGCGGAGCTTCTCGACTCGGTTGAGGAGGCAAGGCCTGGGTTTACATCCTTGGCTTTCCTTCAGGCCCCGTCCGCCGCTTGTCATGGGGGTGGGTGTTTGCTCCCCTGGGTGGGTGAGGGAGGGGTCTGGCCTAAGAGCTCCTGCAGGTGTGTTCGGGCGGTGTGTACGTTGGGAGCGTGTCCCCATGTGGGAGAGCCGCGCTCACTTTGGGAGCTGGTCTCACTGGGTCCCCTGCGACAGACCAGTGCGCTGATCTGCCACTGAGGGGACTCGGGGCCAGGTGCAGGTGACGAGGTCTGAGAGGACCTTCAGGTCGCAGCGGCGTTTTCCCTTCCCCTCACCATCGCTGTCAGCGACCAGAAAGCTGTCATCGGAAAGCCTGGGACAGCTCACTTGGTCCTGCCAGGAGTTCACTGAGATACTTTGTTTCTCCTCCTCGCAGGATCGGAAAGTGATCATGAAAACCATGAAAACGTACGTGGAAAAGGTGGCGAATGTGAGTATCAGGAAACCCGTTTCCTTTCATTGTTCCTAACAGTAACAGCAAGAAAACCAATGCAACAGTAACAGCAAGAAAACCAATGCGTGTCTGTTGAGGGAGTTGGAAGAACCCAGAAAAGCACCAGGATGGAATGTTGTATTCCATTTGCTTTCCATTCTGCAACACGGTAACAAGCCTCGGTGTTACTCTATCTTTCTTCCAGTGACATTGTATCGAGTCAGGTTTCCGTTCTTGTTAGCTGTCCTTTTCCTGACTGGGGAAGCTTTCCGTGAATGACGTTCCAGTTTTGCTTCAGGAAGTTGGCGCTAGAAAACAGGGAGTGGCATTTGTCTGTGCAGCGTGGTCCCCAGACATCCAGTTCTCTGTGGGATTGCTTGAAGATCAACCTTTTGACCAGCTAGCGCTCCCAGAGTTCTTTCTGAGGCAACGACTCCCTCATGGTCACTAAGTAGCCACATCATTTTCTGTACAACTTCCGTCTAACAGCTGGGCTGCTCCACTGGAGAAAGACTAGCTCTCTGCTCCCGGGGAAGAGTTCTGGAGGCAGTTCCACCCTGTCTCGGGGTCACCTGGAGTCCGATGGCCTCCCTGGCAGTGAATTTGGTTTTTCACCCTGTTAGAGGAGCCGTTGCACTCCTACAGGGGCTCTGGTGGCGCCGTGGGAGAAGCGTAGACTGCTAACCACGAGGGGGGCGGTGCATTCCCACCAGTGTTCACTGGTAGAAAGACGCCCCTGAAAAGATGAACAGCCTTAGGAAGCCTCTGGGAGTTAGGATTGACCCTAGTGGGTTTGGCTTTATCAAATGTTACCTCGCTGGCTTCCCATTTGCTGGTGGGCTAAGATGATTGAGTGACCCAAACCCACAAGACCCACGGCCATCGAGTCCATGCCAGCGCACAGCGACCCCGTAGGACAGGGTAGATCTGCCCTTGTGGGTTTCCGGGGCTGTAGATCTCTACAGGAGCAGACAGTCTGGTGTGTTAGCAGCCCAGTGGCGCACCCACCATGACACCCTGTTCTGGGAGGCCATTTTGATTGGGTGCCCACTCCACTTTGGGCTCACAGCCTTGCACCCAGACAGAGGCGGACTGCTCCAGCAGGCTGCCACCTCTGCCTCCCGCCCAGCAGCAGGGAGTTCAGACCATTGCTTTGTGGCTTGCAGCCGGGCCCTTGCCCACTCTGCCACAGAGAGAGTGGCCTGTCCTCTGGATGGGAGCAGCTGTGAGGAAGGTGGTGCCCCGCCCCAGCAGCCACTCACGGGTTCCAGAAAGCGCCCAGTGTGATGACTGCCTTTCTCCAGCAGGGTGAGCCCCAGAGCTGCCCGACGGCTTCGGCACTTGGGAGCAGGCCTTTTTTGTTTTCCCGCTCCCCCGCCTCCCCCACCCCAGTTAGTGTTTGGTTTCATGAATAAGAAAAATCTCTCCAAATCAGAAGAAGGTGCCTCCTGTTAACGGTTCCTGCTCAGCATTCATCCCCTCCCGTCTCAAAGTGGCTACACACCCTTCGGTGTGTGTACAGGCTGACAGGCCTCCGACCAGCCCGAGACTCAGAGATTCTGCCATGTACTGGCCTTCCTTTCTCCCTTCATTCCCACCTGATTTCAGCAGTTGAGTGTTTGTGAGTGGCATTTTCATTGACCACAGGAGCCCTGGAGGTGAAACAGCTCCACCAATGACCCAAAGGCCGACAGTTCAAACCTGATAGCCGCTTCTCGGGAGAAAGCCGGGGAGTCTGCTCCTGTCTGGATCCTCAGTGGCAGAGACCCTCTGGGCCCCTTTACTCCGTCCTGTAGGGTCACTGGGTGATTCTGACGTTGGCAGTGGGTTTAGTGTTCTTTGTTTTGATTTTAACTCATTAACAGGGTAACAATTCAGAGTGAGATTATATCCTGGTCTGCGTGATGTGGCCTTGAATGTGGTCTTTTATTTCTTCCTCCCGTCCTGTCTCTGGAGTATCATTAACTAGGTTCCATAGGAGAGGAGGTTTATTTGAGCAGCGCTTATCCACCTTGTTGGTGTGTGGGCCCAGGTGTGTGGGGCCGAGTGAGAGCGCAGCATTTTAAATTGCCTCTGAAGCCCGACTGTCCTCTGCTCTTGCAGGGCCAGTACTCCCATCTGGTCTTACTGGCGGCATTTGACTGCGTCGATGACACCAAGCTTGTGAAGCAGATCATCTTATCAGTGAGTCACCCTCGGGACCCCGGGTGTGGGGTGGGTCGAGGGGCTAGCTGTGCAGGATAAGCTTGACCTTTCCGTAAGACGAGGCACCTCACAAAGGCTGCCTGCTGGAGCCCCGTTCAGACGTGGGCAGGTTTGTGCTGCTCGCCCCCTGCTCTCACGCGGGTCCCGCCGTAACACGTTCCTCGCGGTCTCTTTGGGGGGGCTTCCAAAATGGGTCCTGTCCCGAGGGGATTCACTGGGCCAGCTCAAGGAGGGAGGTCACGAGGACTGTCTGCGGGGACCCTAAGGAGGCCGTCATGGTGGGTTTTCTCAATGGCATGGGGAACTCTGGGGGCATATTAGGAAGGCGGTTTGAGATAATGAACATCGCTCCATGAGGAAGGAAGCGGGCGGGAAAGTTGCACCAGGGATGTCTTCCCATCGCGACACCATAGCTGCTCATTCGTCAAGGGGACCTTCGAGGACCAGGTCTGTCCCGTCAGATGTCTTTTTGTCCCCAAACTCCAAGGGCATCTCAAAGGGACACCTCCCAAAGATGCCGGAACTGCCCTTGTGCGGCCCGCATCCGGGTGCAGGGTCCTGAGGCAAGGTTCGAGAGGCAGGAACTCCGAAGCACAGGCCTGGCTGGAGGAGAAGCCAGGAGACAGCAGCCGTCTGGTCCAGCGCCGTCCTCACCGATGCCACCTGTGCGAGCCATCGTGGCAGCCCCAGTGTCCGGCCTTCTGCCAAGGGTCTTCCCCTCCTGCTGACTTCACCCAAGCACCACGCTGCGGTTGGCTGTGTGGTCTCAAGAAGCAAAGTCAGCAGCCCTGGTGTGTGTGTGTGAGGAGTGATTTCATCTCAAGAAACATCCCATCCCAGTCCATCTCAAGTCTGTGGGTCAGAGCCCAGCCGGAAGGAACCTTCTTTAGCCCACGGAGCGGCAGGCTGCTGACCCAGAAAGCTGAACCTGGGCCGGCACTGCTCCCAGGCCAGCGACCCACCTGAGGCCGACACAGAATCCCAGCGTGAGAAAAGCCCCTTGCTTCTAAGGCATGTTCTGGCATTACTTCCTCCAGGATGCAAGAAACAAACAAACCACCACCACAAAAGAAGTGAACCGTGCAGACGGCAGAGTGTGGATTGGACCGTTTGTTTGCAGGGCCATCCTTCAGCTGGTCAGGGAGTCTGTCTGGCAGAGGGCCTCCCCAGCCCCTGGTCCCCTCCCAGCAGAAGTAGAGAAGCTGCCTGTCCAAGCCCCCTGTTTGTGCAGCCGCCCGTAGTCGTCAGGAGAAGAAAGAGCTGGGAAGGACACACCAGGTTCCGGCACTTCTCAGAGCTTTCGTGACTGCTTTTGGAATCGTCAGGTTGTGGAAACGACAACTGGAGGAGACCCAGATCGCAGAGGGAACTCATGATCGAGACTGCCCTCTGCTGCAGTTTCGTTGGCGTGTAACTAGCACATACGATTAAGGGAGGACTCGGGTCACACTAAGAAGGGCTGTGCATTAATCACCATGAGCGACGACTTGGGAACACTGTTTTCCTTCCTGTCCCCATTACCGTTGGCTCCTCATCCCGCTCCCAGCCTCCCCTTCTGTGTCCCCAGGTGATGGTTGATTGATCCATCTATAATTGATGTAATGTGCAGCTCAGTGGCGCAGTCACGTCATCGTTTGTCAACCCTGTAGCTTTTTCCCTTCCTTTATACATTGAAGCTGTCGCCCTCCCCACCTCCGCCAGGGTGTCCCAGTCAGCCTTTTAAGAATCCATGTGTGCTGGCTGGGTGGAGATAGGAGTTCTTCCTGAGACGAGACTGCACGATGCCCCTGACCTTTCGGAATGGTTCCCCAATGCCCTTGACCTTTCCCCGAAGTGACAGCTCCGCCCACAGAGGCGGGCGGCCGTGAGTGAGGACGGCCTCCAATAAGAACCCACCGGTGTGCAGTCTGGTGGGAGCCCGCTGCCTCCAAGCGTGCCGACTCGGCCCCTGTGGGCCGTGGTGGAACTGCCCTGAGGGCTTCGGGATACTGTCATTTTAGGGGAGTAGAAAGCTGCATCTCTCCCTCGAAGCAGCCAGTGGTTTCAAACCGCTGACCATGCAGTTGGCAGCCACAGAGGAACCTGGAAGGAGGCGTCTTTCCTCTGGCGGTTTCTCAGGCCCCATGACGTAATATGGCAGTGACTTTGTAGAGGGCAGGTGGGTGGGAAGAAGCAAGTTGGCAAGCCGTGGCCCACGCTGAGGGGTTTGACATCCGCCAGGTGACCTCCTTGCCCTTCAGACTAAGGCTTGCGCTCCATCCTCAGGCCGGAGACAGGCGGCCGTAGAATCGGCTGATGAATAAAGTCAGTCGGGAACCTGGGATCCGCTGGGGCCATTGAAAGCCGCCTTTGTTTTATATTTTGACCACAAATAGAATCTGCATAACCGTTCCAAGTGCAATTCCCGGGAAGTCGGGCTTTCTTGGAGGCTGTCAGGGCGGCATGGCGCCGGCCCTCCTCCAAAGTCGCCGGGGACACGGCTGTAATCAGCCGGTTCCCACAACTCTCTGATCCGCACTGTGACCCCGCTTGGGATCGGGCCACTGCCTGGCCTCCCCACTGCGGGGCGGGCGGGCGAGCGAGCTAGCATCCTGGGTGTGGAGCTGGTGACTGGCAGTATGGTGTCGCTAAGTGTCCTCTTCCAGGGGAACAGAATTGCCTGGAATGTCCATTGAAGTGGCCGCCCCATGAGCTGAGGCCCTCTCTTCTGGGGGGGCCCGGCCCACCTACTTCGGGCCTGGTCGTCTCCACTCCGACATCCCATCGTCAGGTGGTACAGCTCCGACACCGAGAGGAAGTCTGGCCCGCCTCCCGCTAGTTACTAAGGAGCCCTGGTGGTGCAATGGTTAAGTGCATGGCCTATCCCAGGAAGGCCAGTGGTTCAAACCCACCTGGGAGTAAGGCTTGCCCACCTGCTCCCTTAGAGGTGATGCCAGCCTAGGGACCCCCCCCTGAAGCCATACTGGGTCACTCTTGGGCACCCAGCAACCACCACCCGTTGCTGCCTGGCAGCGATGAGATGTGGGTGCGTGCTTCCAAACGATGCTGGTGGGTGACCCGAGTCAGTTCTGATGCACAACGAGCCCTGTGCAGCACGCCGAAGGACCGAGCTCGTCCTCCGCATGGCCTGCTCAGTTCAAGTGCATTTGAAGTGTGCCCAGGGCCTGTGAGTGCCACTCTGAGCCTGCCCTGCGGCCCCTGGCAGGAAGTGAGGCCTGAGCAGTGCAGTGGGAGTTCGAGCCTCCACACCAGCTCCGGGACCCCTGCTCTGCTGGTCTGGGCTTCCTCCTCCTGTCCCCGCCCCTGCCCACTCTCTGTAGGTGTGCCCGACACTGGTTTGCATGTACGGACAGACAGAAGTGCCCTGGTAGTGTGGTGTTTGCTACACACACAACCCCTCCCCGGTGGACAAGACTTCTTTGTGAAGAGCATGACTGTCCTGGGTGTGATTGGCGGATAAGGAGCCACGGCAGGGGTGCTGGATATGCGCTCGGCTCTCGTTGGCCATTCAGCCCAAGAACCGTTCTGCGGGGCCAGATGTGGTCTCTAGCTGGGTTGGGCTCCCTGCCCTCTCTGCTGCCGGGGTCCCTCTGCTGCAGTGGTCCTCACGCACCACTGAGGCTACCGCCCAGCAGAAGCATCTCTCTTGCTCCATCGTCACGGGAACCTTCCTGTCCTCCGTGTGTCTTTCTGAGGGCGCAGTCGAGGCTTTGCCCACCTATAGCTGTGGTCACACCAGCTGCAAGTCAGCTGGGTCAGCCCAGAGGCCACAGCCAGCCCCCACCCTCATAACCAAGGCCTGAGAAGTACAGTCATCACAGGCGAAGAGAACGCCCCGTAGCCATTTGTGACGGCCCTGGGCTCGGTGCTTACACACAAAGGGGTTGTGCTGGAACACTTGGCACCAGAGACTCTCCATTCTGGGGGCTGTGTGTGTGTGCACGCATGACTTTTCAGGTGATGATGGTCAGGTGTGTGTGCGTGTGGTCATGGATGGCTCTCCCACCTGCCCCTCTGCAGGAGATCGTCAGCTCCCTGCCCAACATCATCGGGGACAAGTACGGAAGGAAGGTCCTGCTGTACCTGCTGAGCCCCCGGGACCCTGCGCACACAGTCCCCGAGATCATCGAGGTCCTGCAAAAGGGGGACGGCAACATGCACAGGTGAGTGGGCACCTGTGTGTGGAGGGGGGGGTGATGGGGGACACCTGCTTCCTGAAATCCACATTCCCTCTGTCCGGAATGCTCAAATGACTGGAACCCAGACTCCCGCTCATAGCAGCCCTCCCAGGGGGACAGTGCCAGCCTGTTGTCTTTCCTGAAGGAGCTGTTGGTGGCTCTGTGGGTTAAGTATTGAGCTGTTCTCCTGCAAGGTCAGTGGTTCAGACCCCAGCTCTGTGGGAGAAAGATAACAGAATTTCCAGTCTCAGAGCGCTGCCTGGGGTCTCTGTGAGTCAGAATGGAGTCAATGGCAGCGGGTGGGGGTTTGGGCTCAGCCTTTACAGGAGCGGACTGCCACATCTCTCTCCCGAGGGGTAGTGGACATCTTCAGATCCCCACCCCCCCGTCTGCCAGCGCTGGTGCGAGACATTCACTACTCTCCAGAGTAGAGCTCACGAGACAGCTAGAACACAGCACTGCTGTGCCGCAGCTTCACCGTTTCAAACACTCTCCACCCAGAACTGCCCCTGTGGGTTTCCAAAGCTTACCTCTTTGCAGAGTAGAAAGCTTCAGCTCCCCCCCACCCCTCCACCCGCCACCCAGACAAACTCAGGTTTCTGTGTTGACAAACCCACTGCCGTCGTAGCTCAGAGCAAAACGGACGCCAGGAGCATAGAGGCTGGTCGCTCTGGAGGTGTGCGGCCCCACCGGCAGGTTCAAACCGCCAAGCACTTACCCACTGTGCACCAGGGCTCCTGCGAGAATCAGGCCTCCAAGTTTCCCTCCCCTTAACGGGGCCCTTTCCCCTGTCCCCACAGTAAGAAAGATGCCGTGACCCGCCGGCGGGAGCTCCTGGAGACCATCTCCCCGGTGCTGCTGAGCCACCTGCAGGAGCACGCCCAGGAGATGGTGCTGGACAAGGCTGCGTGTGTGCTGGTCACCCACATCCTGGGCTCCGCCCTTGGGGACGTCCAGCCCGCCATGAGGGCCATCGCCAGCCTGGCGGCAGGAGAGCTGCACCCCGGGGGCCGGGATGGAGAGGTCAGGCCATAGCACTGTAAGATGGGGGCTGCCCGACCTGTCTGCTCGGGGAGGGGCTGCACCCCGGGGCCAGGGAGTAGGGGTGAGGCACTGTTAGGACAGACAGGAGATCCACCTGTCCTGTCTGCCCAGCCCCCGTCAGTGAGCAGCCCGTCACAGAGGGTGGCAGAACCTGGACCCCTCAGGCTGGCCGCACTCTGGCCACGAGGGGCCCTTGTCGAGGGGCCCTTGTCGCTGAGGGAAGAGGCGCTTGGCTGCCTTCCTCCTCGGCATGTCAACACATAGGCTCCCACACTGGCATGGCTGCTGTCACACTTTGCCTCCCGCAGGCTGCTGGGCACCCACCGCTGCGCACAGCTGTCCCTGGTCAGTGCTGGGAGGACCTGCCTCAGTGACTGTTGCCAAGAGGAGGCTGCGTGCCTATGTGTGTGCATGCCTGTGCGTGTGGTCAGCTTGGGGCGTGGTGGTCCTTTAGCTCCTGGCCCTATGGGAGCTCAGATGGGATTGGGCCCTTCCTGGGGAGTCCAAGGTAGTGTGGAGCAGGCTGGCTGCAGCTGGCCGGGGAGCAGCTCTGAGCCCTGTCCCTGTCGGCTGGCCCCACAGCTTCACCTTGCGGAGCACCCTGCAGGACACCTGGTTCTGAAGTGGCTCATAGAGCAGGACGGGAAGGTGCAGGAGCGTGGACGAGAAGGTAGGCCGGCCTCAGGTCAGGTGGGAAATCCCATCAGGAATGGCTGGCCACTCCGGACTGGACCCTGGCCTCTCCATCCGGAGGCAGTGACACCTATCTGTGGCGGTTTTGAACTGCCGGCCTTTCAGTTAGCACCCCAACTCAGAGCCACCCATCCATCAGGCACCCCTCGTAATTAACACATGGTTCCAGGGCACCCCTCCTAATTAGCACCTGGTCTTCCGGGTGGGACTCGGCCCCTGGCATGCTCTGGGCTTGGGTTCACAGGGTGGCTCGGCTGTCCCTCCGTTTGCCTTGCAGGCTGCTTTGCAAAGATCCTCGTGGAGCACGTGGGGATGAAGAGCTTGATGTCGTGGGCGAGCGTGAACCGCGGTGCCATTGTCCTCTCCAGGTGGGCAGCCCTGTGCCGGCCCGGCCCGAGGGCCCGCTGGCACCCAAGGCTCTGTCTCGGGTCCCGGATCTACTCTTGAGGGTCTCCTGGTGCCGGTGGGAGGAGGACCGGCCACTAGAAAGCAAACCCCATGCCCAGAGGTGGGGTCCATCGGACACTGCTCTCAGCCGCCCAGCTCTGTCGGAGGGCAGGGCAGGGGTATGTAAATTCCTGGCACCAGCTGCGGCTTGTGTGCCTGGCTCAGCCATGAAGGCTCTGCAGAAAGCCCCATGACGGTATTTCCAGCGGGCCAGTCTGGGGTCGGTGGAACCGTGACCAGGTCGCTGTTTAAACGTGGCTGCCTAGGCATGTCCTTGTCTTCCACTGTTTGCTGAGCATACTCTTCCCTCCCCCATGTCTGTCCCGCGGTCACCCTCCAGGGTGAGGTTAGAACTGCCCCTGGGAGTTTGTAGCAGCCTTAACCTGCTGCCCTGAATCCATTCCAGCTCACAGGGACCCTGTGGGACAGAGTAGAACTGCCCAGGAGGGTCTCCAGGCTGTAGATCTTTCCAGAAGCAGTCTGCCCCAGCTGTCCCCTGTGGGTTGGAACCATTGCCTTTCAGTTAGCAGCCCAACAACGCCTAGCCCTTTGGACCACCAAGGCTCCTCTGGGTACCCAGGGGATCAGGGCCTTTTGCGAAACCTAACTGCGTGCCTGCCACCCCCCAGCCTTCTCCAGAGCTCGGACCAGGAAGTCGCAAGCAAGGTCAAGGCTGGGCTGAAGAGCCTGGTTCCCACGCTGGAGAAGAGCAAGCCCACCAGCAGAGGCGTGCAAACACTGCTGGAAAAGCTGGTGGCCTAGAGGGGACAGCGACAGGCAGGACAGGGCCACTGCCCCCGCCCTGCTGCGCTGGACTGTACAAGCATCTATTTATAAAGATCTTTCTCAAAGCCCCTGCCTCTGCTCTAATTGGACCCCTCACGGGAGGTTTCAGGATTGTCTAGATCAAAGGGGAGGCCGGTGTTTTCCCTGGGGAGGTATCCAAGAAGGCTTCCTGGAGGAAGGGGGGGCCGGTGGGGAAACTGGGTGTGGGGGAGGCCAGCCCTTCGAGGTGAGAGTTCCTGCCCTTGGATCTAAATGGAGTCGGGGGAGGCTCAGTGACCAACTGCTGCCCAGTTCCCGAGGCCCTGGGGCTGGGTTCCCTTTGAGCCTCAAGTTGGAGGCCACTTGGATCGTGTCACTTGACCATGGCAGTGGGCTCAAGCAGCGGTGAGCTGGCACCATGCCTTGTCCTGTCGGAGTTGCTGTGAGTCAGAACCAATGGAGTGCACCGAACAGCACAACAGAATCAAGGTCCATCACAGTGGCTAGCAAGTAAACATCCTCCTGGGATTCTCTGCTTCCAGCCAAGATCCATCTGACATCTGCCATGACATCGCTCCTACCACGCCCTC